GGCAGGCGGCTCGGAGCAGCAGCTGGCGAGCGAGGAGGTGGTGGCTTACCTGAGGGGCAGGGCTGAACAGCTGCAGGTGGCGTTTGCCGCAGTGGCTTCTGCCCTGCCCAGCGGCGGCGGCAGCAGCACGGGCGGGGGTACTGCAGGTGCTGGGCACGCGCTGGTGAGCGGCTGGGGCGGCGAGAGTGGCAGCCCCTGGCATCATCACTGCACCACCGCACGGCGCGTGCTGCGGCGGCTGGTGTCTGAGGGGCTGTTGGAGACGCACCGCCTCACGGCGGGCGGAGTGGCCGCAGCACTGCTGGAGAGTCTGCTGGGCGCCAAGGACGCAGCGCAGGCGCCCAGGTTGGTGCGGGCTTGAATGGCCCGGACAACAGCTGCTTCCTGCAGGTCAAGGCAGTTGACATGCACTTGATCCCGTGAGACTGTACTGCTTCAGCTAGCTGCTGAAAATCACACCAGTGATGTCTTGGGGTACCGCTCACGAACACAATCTTTTCTGGCTTCGACCACCGGCTCGGATGCCCCAGGCTGCGCCTCGACTGTGGCCCTGACGACGCGCCCGACGCTGCTGACGCGGCAGACGAGGCGGCGAGCGCGGCGCAGCTGGCTGATTGGCGCGAGCGCGAGGTGCTGCTCTGGGCCGACCAGCCGCTGACATACGCTGAGTTTGTCTGGGGACTGGCCAGGGTGGCCGGCCTCCTGCCGCCACCACCAGCGCCGGCGGCGACTGCGCCCCGCCGCACGACGCAACAGCAGGCCGCTGCTTCGCGCACGGCCGCGCCGCCTCGCAGCGCGGTGCGTCGGGGTTCGGTTGTGGGGGCAGCGCAGGGGCCGCAGGCGCTGGTGGCTGGGGTGGAGGAGCGGGGGCGGGCCGGCCTCCTTGTGGCGCTGCAGCGCCTGCTGGACGGGCCTGATGGCCTGCTCACGCGACTCTGCCCGGCAGCTGAGCGCCGGGGGCCAGCTGACTCTGTCGGCCAGGAGGTTGGCAGGGGGGACGCCGAAGAGGTTGTGCCTGGTGCTAATGTCAATGTGGCTGGGTCTGCGGTGGTCTTGCCGGAGGCGGATTGTGCCGGCGACGACAAGGCTGCCGAAGCTCCTGGCCAAATATGAGGCTCCTTACTGCCAACCGCCATGGTCTGTCGTCATTTAAGTAGCTGGGTATGTACATGGATCATGTATTGAGGATACCCCATACCCAATGCCAGTGTGGTATGCCAAAGGGGGTGAAATCAACGTGAGCCATAGGGCCACAGCGGGCACGGGCTCACAGCACACCTGACCGCACTGCTTACGTGGCGCCGCCCCAGTCAACCGCGCCCAACAAGAGCGCTACCATGCACCCATGCCTCAATATGTGATTCTGTTTATGTCTCAAGAAACATAATTAGAAGTCCGTATGTAGCTGACAGACAGACTTGCTGCACGAGATCACACACAGCATGCTGGGGTCGCAGCGCCAAGCGGATCCCCGGCCTCATACATACAGGACATTGGGCCCGCATTCATGCCGGCGGCCCTTTCTTCGCCAGCGGGCCTCAGCAGCGCAGCCATCAGTCGACCTGCCGCCCCGAGTGCTGCTGCCCGGCCTTGATGAGGAGATTGCGCTGAGCAGGGAGCCCGCGGGACCTGGTTTCATTCCCGAGGAGCTGCAGCCGCCTGCCCCATGGGTGCGGCCGCCGGAGCGCACCTACACAGGGCCGAGCATTCGCGACAGCGGCACGCTGCGCCCCGGCCCAGAGTGGTACCCGGCGTGGATGAAGTACCGTCGGCGGGAGGACAACTACGTCTTTTGGCAAGACAAGTTCCTGCGATGCTCCTTGGAAATCCCAGGTCAGGGCAACATAACGGGGAGCGGAGAGAGGGGGTGGGACGTGGGAGAGCTGTTTCTTCTGGCCTATTTGGGCAGCGTCGTCACAACAGCAGCATGAATGTTTGCGGTGCACAACAGGTGCGTCAAGCAGTTAAACCATGTGACTCGCACGAGAGCTCATCAGCCCCTGCCACCGTCCGTGCGGCTCATGCCCTGCCTCTGTGTCGCCGCAGCCGCTGAGAAGCGGTGGACCATCTTCTCCAGCGTGTGGTTCCTGGTCAAGGAGGCCAAGTTCAACAGCGTGCCGGCCTCCCTGCGCTACATCTGGTTCATCGCCTGGCGCGCGGTGATGCAGCGCGTGTACGAGGCCCACAAGGCTGTTGTGCTCTGGCGTGAGTGCGCCGCCGCCGGCCGGCCGCCCCAGCCCCCGCGACCTGGCTGCAGCAAGGCGAAGCCTAGTGTCACGCTGTAGCTCTTGTTCTCGCACGTCCGCTCACTAGACCGCATATCGGTCTGCGGTAGCATCCACCACGCACTTTGGGCAAGCGGGCGGCACTGGCTGGACGAGTGCCCGAATTCTCACTGCCCGACTGGCCCGATGCCCGCCTCTGTCCCGCGGTTGCGCAGAGTCGAAGGTCGATGCGGCGCTGGCGGCCAAGGCCGTGCGTGACCGGAGCAGCAGCAGCGGCAGTGCAAGCGGCAGCCCAATCAGCGGCAGTGAAGCCAGTGGCGGCGGAGAGGCGGGCGACAGCAGCGGCAGTGGCACGGCTTTGGCTGTGGTGGAGTTGGAGCAGGGGCCGGGCTTCTCTCGTGCCATGGCCCTGCGGCGGCTGCATTGGAGGAACTCCTTACTGGGGGAGATTTTGTACGCCATCAACATCGCCAAGGTGTGTGGGGGCGTGCGTGACTCTGCTGGCGGGTGGGATGTGGCGGGACGGAGCCTGCATGAGTGAGCAATTTTCTGATTGAGAAGGAGGGACTAGTGCGCATCAGGGCGGGGGGCATAGCTGTTTGTACCATCGCGAGTGATGGGGTTGGCTGGGGCCCTTGCGGGCGCAGCCTCCAATTGTGATTCTGACGACAGCATCTGCTTTCTGTGCTGTATTCTTGGCCTGCTGCTCCGCTCTCCCCATAAAACGCAGACGGGCCGGGTGCACATGCTGCCGCCAGTGAAGCGGCCCCTGCAGCGGCCGACATTCTTCTTCCTGTTTTGAGCCGGCGCACCTGACCCTTTACACCGTGGATGCGGAAGGGGCTGCGCGTGGTCCACACACCACCATCCGTGTAAATTACGCAATCCTGCTTTTCAGCGGCCCCGTGCACATCTAGGCAGGCTCACCTTGCCAGTTTGTCAGGAAGCCCCCGGCCAGGCAAGTCACAGCCGCCGCAGCAGTGCCCACCACGCCAGCGGGCGCTTCCCCAATTCGTCCCGGTAGTGCGGCGTCTCATCAAACCGCGACTGCGTCAGCCACACAAACTCCCACCCCTCGTGGAACGCGGCCCGCAGCTCGGCCTCGCTCATCGTGTTTGGGCCACAGTCTGGCTCCAGGTCGTTCCCGGTCAGCAGCATCAGCAGGCCGCCAGGCCGCAGCAGCCGGTGCAGCGTCGCGACCGCGCCGGCTGGGTCCTGGTCCCACAGTACGTGGAAAGCTTGGCAGTCTGCCACAAAGTCGAAGCCGGGGCGCGGCTGCTGTTGCTGCTGCTGAAGGTCACCGCCGCTTGCTGCAGACGAGGGATCTGCCGTCACTCCACGGCATGCGCCGCGTTCACGTTTTAGGTGTTCTGTCGCAGTTAATTCCCAGCTTGCTCCCTCCTCTTGCTGCTGCTGCTGCTGCTGCAGCTGCTCCAGCTGCTCCAGCTGCTGCTGCTCCAGACGCTGGGCTGCCTCCCAGCAGAACCCCTCCGGCAGCTGCAGCACATCCGCCTGGACAAACACGCACCGGCCGGCCACACCTGCGCGTGCGACGCCCGCCCGCGCCGTTCGTACAGCCGCCGATGCGATGTCCACGCCAGCCGCGCGCCTGCCGAGGCGTGCCAGGAGGGCGCAGCTCGCGCCAGCGCCGCAGCCGATCTCGAGGGCCGCGCCGTGCAGGGGCGGCTTGAGCGGCGCGCAGCGCGGGCAGACGTGCGCCTGCGGCGCGGCCGCGTGCGCGGGGCTTTCCTCGGTGCTGAGAGGAGGCGTAAGTGGGACGTGCAGCTGGTCAGGTTGCATGTCGCCGTGCTCAAGCCACGCAGCGGGGCACTGGGTCAGGTAGGCGTGAAGCTGAGACGCTGCGGCGCCAGTGTGCCAGGGCAGGAAGCCGCGGTTGTAAAAGTCGGCCCACTTTGCTGCCACATGAGGTTTGGGCCCAGGTTCTGGATCTGCCATGTGTAGCTGGAGGGCAAACGGATGATCCGCGAGCGCGGCGTGCGGCCCAGCCGCACAGCACGAGCAGAGCGCGCCGTCCCTGGTCACACCCGCGGATTCAAGGGCAAAGCTAGTGGGCACAGCACGGGTTGTGCGCTAAGATTGTCACAGCGCTTTAGATTGGCGAGATATTCGTGTGCATTCTACGGTCGAGCGTGGATCTCCTTTCAGCACATCCAAGATCACGTTAGCTTACTGAGGCCTGAAAGCGTGTTTACACCTACAGGCATTGTGACACACATCATCCAGACCTGCCGGCCAATGGGCAGTGAGGCCACACTGTCAGCACTTGCGGAACCGACGGCCCTGGCGCCGGCAGCAGAGCGAAGACTGGCGCTCTCCTTTACAGGCGGCAAGGCAAGCTGCATGCCGGAGTCAACTTACATACAATTTCCATCCCTCGTTGTGACAAGCTGACATCGTTTTCACTGCCCACAGGACTGTGTGCTCGCATTGCACCTGTTGTCTGGGTACCTCCACCCCGACATCCCGCCACTTTCACAAGCCCCGCATGAAAGCAGCGGCCATGTGACGCCTGCGAAGGCCGGCAGCAACGCAGCGCTGCGCCCTGGTACCGGGCGTGTGGTGCTGTTGGTGGCCTTTGGGCCCGCCCCCGGCCCAGGCGAGAAGCCAGGAGACTCATTCAAGGCGCACCCCATGCATGTCATGCGGGCTCAAGCGGCTGCACTTGGCATGCCGCTTCAGTACTGCGAGGCAAGTAAAAGGGCACCGACAGAGTGCGGCAGCTGCTGCTGCTGGCGGTGCCTGCTCTGTTGCAGCTGCTGCAGTTGTGATTTGGCTGGCTATCTGACTGCTCAGGATCAAGCCTGAAAGGCCTCAAGCCCTCAGCGCACCCTCACACTCATAAGACATCTCCACCACTCATCAGGTCGGCGCACCCTATCTCGACCGCTACGCGTCGGCGATCGCGGGCCTGCGGGAGCAGCACAGCATCAGTGGCCTTGTCACTGGGGACATCGAAGACGTGGCCGGCGGCTTCATGGCAGGTGCGGGGGTGGTGCACACAGTTTTGTGCAGAGTAGATGTGATATTTATGATGGTGACTTCTTGTCAAGTGAGAATGTGGGTTGTAACCCCACCCATGCTTGTGATTTGTTGGAACTTCATTCCCACTTTATGACATGACCTCTTTGTGGCGCCATGTTGCGGCCCACCAATCTGCGTGGCACATGCAGCCGCGGCGTCTGCAGCGGGCGTGCGGCTCATCACACCACTGTGGCAGCTGCCGCGGGGCAAGCTTCTGCGGGCGCTGCTGGGGCTGGGCATCTCAGCGCGCATCAGCTGCGTCGCTCTTGCCAAGTTCGCTGGGCCGCCTGCAGCGCTAGGCAAGGGGACCTGTGACGACAGCACAGAGGATCCAGAGCAAGAACAGCAGCAGCAGCAGCAGCAGCAGCAGCAGCAGAAGCAGCAGCAGCAGAAGCAGCAGCAGCAGCAGCAGCAGCAGCAGCAGAGCAAGACCGGCTGCCACTGCCACTGCGTCGCAGCGCCACCTGTGATGGGCCCTCTGCTTTTCGACGCCGTCGGCGAGCTGCTGGGCCGAGACGTCACACAAGCCCTGGTGGCGGGACCGATAGCGCGCGCGGCCGCCGCCGCGGGCATCGATGCCGCTGGCGAGGACGGCGCGTTCCACACAATCGTTACGGCGTGCCCGCTGATGGGGGCCAGCTGCTTGATGTTGGAGGGGCGGCCACACGTGGATGATCAGACGGGCTACGCTTACATGGTTTGGGACGAAACACGTGTGGAGAAGCGGCCGCAGGGACTGCCAGGGTAACAGCTGCAAGCAGCAGCAGCAGCAGCAGCAGCAGCAGCAGCAGCAGCAGCAGCAGCAGCAGCAGTACAATGCAGGATGCAGCAGCAGCAGCAGCAGCAGCAGCAGCAGCAGCAGCAGCAGCAGCAGCAGCAGTAGAATGCAGGATGCAGCAAGTAAATGTATACAGCTGAGAGAGATATTGCACTTATCAATGTAACAGCGCCCAGTTTGAGGCAGCAGCCAGCTACACATGGCAGCCTAGCTATAGACACGTGATTGGCAGTGCAGCATCACGGCTGACAACAGTATGATAGGGATGTGACACAACGAGCAAACACACAGCCCCAGCCAGATCCCTGTTCTACGGCTCACGCCACTGCCCGCTCGCGACCCAGCGCCACTGCATCCGCAACCTGTCAAGCGCTGCGCCAAACGAGTCCAGCGCGGGCCGCACGTCCAGGTGCATGGATGCCTGCACGCCAGGCTGGGGAGCGCCGCTGTAGAAATCAATGACATAGCGCACCTCGTGGCCGCAGCGGTCGACCACCCAATCGTGGCGGTCAAATGGCAGCTTATAGCCCTGGTCGGATGGTTGGTTTGTTCGTCGGTTGGCGAGTTACAATTGGCAGCGTCGTCAACAAAGGGCGTGTGTGTGTTCAGGGCACAGCGTGAGAACCTCTTGGACCCCAGGGGGTGAATGCAACGTGCACCAGGACCAGGACAAAGAAAGCTGCGTTGATGGCCTGTGACAAGAGCCGTCAAGGATCCTGCCGCTGCATTCCTTCCACCGAGTGGAGGGCAAAGCAGTGCTGTAGCCAAGCCAGGGTCCCTGTATACAATGCAAATGCATGAGCGCGCCGAGTGAGCCTGGCGCGCGCACCAGCAAGTTGAGCAGCCGAGCCTTGGGGCTGTACTCGCTGGGCCGCCCCTTGAAGCGCAGCAGCTTGGGCAAGGGGCAGTCGCACTCGTGCAGCGCCTCCCAGGAAAGCACGTGCTGCCAGGCGCGCTCGTTGACGGCGTTGTGAATGGCCACCACCGTTGGCATGTCGCTCTCTGCAGGCTGCCACCCCTATTCCAAACCGGTGTGGACGTCCCAGTAGGAGATAGGTGGACGCGCGCATGTGAAGCTGCGCTGACGTTCACGGGGGTTCGCTCCGCACAGGCCAGTGCAGCTGCTGCATGCCTGTGAGCGCCTTTCGGGCGCTCCAGCGTTTCCAGCATGCTCAAAAAGCAACCACTCATGGCACCCTTGGCAGCTGCTCTGCATGAACCTGTCCAGGAGCGTCTCTCACCTTTCTGGCCATTGCGTTGTAGAATTGCTGCTCTGAGGGATACATCCAGACCGATTCGCCGCTGCCGCCCGCTGCCGCTGCCTGCTGGTGCGCTGGCACTGCCGCTGGGTCGGCTATGGGAATAGTGGATGCCGCACGCGCTGTGCTGAGCGCGGTTGCCTGCTCCTGCACACCCGCTGCATTGGGGACGATGGGCATGTTGATGCGCGCCGCATGGCGAGCGTCCTCGCTAGCAGGGCAGCTGGATGGCGATGGGGACGGCGAAGGGGTGGCTGCGCTGCCCGTGCTGTGCTGCTGCTGGCCCTGTTGCTGGGCTGCCAGCCACCGCTCGCGCTCTTCTTGCGACACAGGGCAGCCTGGGGGTACAGACGGACACAACGGTTGAAAGAGTCGGCGATCAACGTCGTGGCAAGCGTCGGGCTTCGGTTGAGAGCTCAGCCGCACACAGCGCAAGCAGCCCGTCCAGCACGCTGCCCGCCGCACACCCGAAGAGGATGTTCCACTGCTGCTGGAGGCCGCCTTGACGAAGAGACTGTGCGGCGATTCCGCCGCGCCCGGTGCCATGACAAAACGGGCCTCGCTGGCACAACCGGTAAAACTGGACCACAGATCGACTAAAGGTGATGCCCTATCAAAGGCCTGAGAGTCTCACTAGTTGCAGATCGCTAATTACTTTGGCCCACATGAGGCTGAATTGCTGCACACGGTCTCACTAGGTAAAGTCGCAGTCACCCGTCGCACACGGTGCCACGTGAATATTTAGGGACCTAACTCTTATTACCCGCAAGAGAGAATCAACGAGCCGTACCAGGCGTTCAGCCGGGCCCCGAGGCCCCAGCACTGCTCAGACCTGCTGCAGCCAGCCTGGCTTGCAGGTGCGCTGCGGCAGAGGTGCGTCATTCAGATTTAAAAGCCGTTACGCACACGCTGCTAGCGTCAGGGACGCTTCAGTTGCTCGGAGGTTGCTCGCTGCTGCTCAACCCGTTCCATCTGAGCGGCAAGCGGCCTCCGCACTCCTCAAGGTTGCTGGAGAATCTGGGCGTCTCATAGAGTCAAACTGCCCCGCGAACGACGTTGGGTGCGGCCCGCACCAAGAAAACCCACTCAACGGCGCCGACGTGCACTGCAGGTGGCGCGAACGTGCACAAGCACTTGGCCGAGCCCCCGCCAAGCAGCCGCATGCGGCGCAGACGCACCTGAAGACTCCTAGGCGACGTTCCTAGCTGCCCCCTGATCACGGGCCGTCTGCGATGGCGGCCAAGAAGGGGGCGGCCCCTGTGGCCGACTCCGGCCTAGGCGGCATGGACGACAACGTGGCGCAGCTCAGCAAAGGCAGCCGCGTTTGGTACCGCCAGGACGCGACTACATGGGTGCTCGCCGAAATGCGGGACGCGCCCAGCGCGCCGCCTCCGCCCGCCGACGGCAAGGCGCCGAAGAAGGGCGCGGCCGCGCCGCCCAATGTGGCGCCGATCACGCTGCTCTCCGGCCCGACGGCCGGCAAGCCCGTCGACGCCGTCCCTGTGACGAGCCTCATGCCGGCAAATCCGGAGATGCAGGCGTCCATTTCCGACATGACCCAGCTGTCGTACCTTAACGAGCCCTCAATCCTGGGCAACCTGCAGCTGCGCTACTCGAAGGACGCGATCTACACTTGCGCGGGGCCGGTGCTGATCGCGCTCAACCCCTGCAAGGAGCTGCCCCTGTACTCAGAGGAGGTGCAGCACGACTACAAGGGTGGGCAGCAGGCGGGCGGGCGTGCGGGCGCGAAGGCGGCGGCCTCGCCTGTCGCAGCGGATTGCCATTCAGGGTTTTGGGCTCTGCGGGGCGGCGGCGGCAGGCGCGGCTTTCGGCAGCTGCGGCATTGCGTGTGGGCGTGGAAGCGGTTGGCGGGGCCGCGGCGTGTTGCCGGCTACGCGTAAAAGGGCGGCGGTCGCTGTGCACTAGCGCACCCCCCCCAGCTCGCTGCCTGCACCAGTGCCCTCCATCGCGCCCTCCATCGCGCCCTCCATCGCGCTGACCTGATCCCACACCCACGTCAACCTTGATGTCAATTGCCACCCCGCAGCGGTGGCGCACGAGTCGCTGCACACGCTGACCCCTCACGTGTACCTGGTGGCGGGCGCAGCCTACAGGGCGATGGTGCGGGAGGGGGCCAGCCAGTCGATTGTCATCAACGGGGAGTCTGGCGCAGGTGAGGGGTTGAGGGGGTGCAGGGGTGCCGGGGTGCGCAAGGCCTCGGGGGAGAGGGGGCTCCTGGTGGTTCAGAAAGTTCAAAAGCTGGGTGGCTGGCCAAGTCTTCGAGCTGCTGCAAGGGAAGCTGGAGCGAAGCTGCAACGGCACGAGGGAGTCGACCGCTGGAGCTTTCGCAGCCCGAGTGCGTTCTGGTCCTGCGAAGCCAGCAGGCAGCTGCAGCGAAGCAGCCGCTGGACCATCCATGGCTCTGGTAGCGCCACGCAGTGCTCAATGGCCTCCACGTGTTGGCGTGCTGCAACATGACCCCAGGCAAGACGGAGACCACCAAGCGCGCAATGAAGTTCCTGGCCTCGCTGGCGGGCGGGCCGGGCCGCGTGGAGGAGCGCGTGCTGGAGACCAACCCGGTGCTGGAGGCCTTTGGCAACGCCAAGACGCTGCGCAATCACAACAGCTCCCGGTGCGGCGGCGGGGCGCGGCGGCGCGGCTAGTGAAGGCGGGGTGCAGTGAGGGGCAGGCGGGTGGCCATCTGGCCTGCTCAACTCACCGTCAGCGGCGTGCGGTTGAGGGATGGCCCATGGTAGCCGACGCCTCCAAGCAGCACATTGGGCGAGAGAGCACAACAGGCCGCTGCCGCATCCCTCATCCCATCCTTGCGGTGCCGGCCGCGCACGACCTCTCGCTCCTGGGTCGCCCCAGATTTGGCAAGCTGGTGGAGATCCATTTCAACCAGACGCACCACATCTGCGGCGCCCGCATCCGCACCTACCTACTGGAGAAGAGCCGCGTGGTGGGCGCCCGCCCCCGCCCCCGCCCCCTCCCGCCACCAACGGCCTGGCGCAGGATGCGGCGGCCGTTGCTGGGTGGGGCGGCTGTGCGGCGCCGCATGCGTCCTGTTGCTGCAGTCTCAACGGCAC